CTTTCATAGAGTGAAGAAAAAGCTATGCGAAGTTCTGTACTGATGGCCTATGAATCAATTAAAATCAGTTATATAAATGAAGCAGAAAGAATCATGACAGTGGTGTTTTGAAGAATAGTCTACTACATTAGAATAATGCTTCTCCAATATTGTTCTTAACTTCTATAACTGGGAAGACAAACTGGTAAATAGCCTAAATGTGCTTATCATAATTACTTAATTTTAAAAACTTCCCCCAAAATAAATAAAAAAGAGGAGCTGATACCAAGGGCTTAAGTGAAGAGCAAATGTTTTGAGGATGACGACGGCAACGAATGTACAAATGTGCTTGCCACAATAGATGTATGTATGGATTGTGGTAAGAGTTGTATGTGCCCCCAATAAAATTATTTTAAAAAATGAAAAAGAAAAAGAAGACTTCCCAATCTAGGATAACTATTTGTTTTAATATCAAAAAAAAAGGTGACAATAAACACTTAGCATCAGGTGACATTTGGGTTCTGCCCCTAGCACCAAAGGTATAGAGGAAGTGTTAACATGCCAGGAAGCAGACAAGAGATTATTGTAGACACTTAGACTAAGAGAAGTGGGGTTGAAAGCCATAAATGTTCATTAAAAGCACTGATTTAGTAAGGAAGATTTAACAACTATATATAAGAAAGGAGCCCAAAAGGGATGTTCTACTATCTTATAATCAACTTAATGAAAGTGGGTAAGCTATATAAAGAATGAAAGGAGAGGCAGAGAGATAATCATAAAAGGAAATTATGGTAGCTAAAATGAGGGAAGAGCCCTGGTGATGTACTAATTAAATGTTGGGCTGCTAACTACAAAATCAGCAGTTCAAAACCACTAGCCAGCCTCTCAGAAGAACAAGGAAGCTTTCTACTCCAGTAACGAGCTATAGTCTCAAAAACTCACAAGGGCACTTTTGGGTTGCTATGAGTCAACATGAATTCAATTAACAAAGGTTTTTGGGTTTGTTTGTTTTTGTTGTTTATAAGGAACCCTGGTGGCATTGACAGGCAAATATTGGACTGCTAACTTCAAGGTCAGTGGTTCCATCCCACCAGCTACTCTGCATGCTGAAGAGCTACAGCTTCAGGAACTCTATACCAGTGGATATCAACCTGTGGGTCGCGAGCCCTTTGGGGGGTCGAAAGACCCTTTCACAGGGGTTGCCCAATTCATAACAATAGCAAAATTACAGTGATGAATTAGCAACGAAAATAATTTTATGGTTGGGGGAATCACCACGACATGAGGAATTCTATGAAAGGGTTGCAGCATTAGGAAGGTTGAGAACCACTGCTCTATACAGAGTCACTGTGAATCAGAATCAACTCTATGGCGGCAGAGGGTTGTTGGATGTATAATATACTCAAATTAAGAAACATAACTGTTTATCAATTGTTAAGTAGTCTCTTAAGAGAAAATCCTCTCAAATCAAGCCACAAGGGGTGGGATATTAGTGCCTATGAGGCACTAAAACTAATCTGATGCCCCAAAATATACCATATACACTCAAGTAAAAGCCGACTCGAATATCAGCCGAGGTGCCTAATTTTACCACAAAACTGCATTTAAAATGTGCTGAAAAATTCAGCTTATACACGAGTATATATAGTAGATATGCATGGCTACCTGGTGGTAGCTGCCAAATTCAGTGAAAACAATAAATTAAATGGAACTAAAAATATATAGCAT